TACCAATCTATTGTGTTTTTCTGCATAGGGACATATATCTGACTTAGCTCTTGCCCTGTGACCTGCCAAACCCTTTTTCGACCTTTTCGTATTAATTCTGCTAACGTGTCTATTCTGGGTTGTATTGATTTCTTTGGCTGAATTTTGGGAAAGATCCACTCTAGTATTTTGAGGTCCCTCTTCTCCCCCTTTTTCTTTTTACATTGAGTCAATGCTCCTAATAAATGTTCTCCTGTAAGAAATATAGAAAGATCAATGGGGAGGTCAGGATCCCGTCGATCACAGTAGCGAGAGGTGATCTGGTTTGCTATGGTCTGAATCATTTCTTGCTGCTCTGCTGTAGGATAGACGGGCAATGCTGGATCTGTTCCTCGTAGTAATGGTCGCAGCACATCAAGCTGTTCATTGGTTATTCCTGTCACTGGTCGGAGCCATTGAATGTCCCCCATCAATTTCTGAGCATCATTCAGAGTTTTTATTTCAGTTGTTATCTGTGGCTTCTGTGGACGAATCACGGAATCTGTTATCTTCCATCCCAGGTACGACCAAGGGCTGCGCTGTTGTACCTTTTCTGTGGCTATAATAAGTCCTGCGCTCTGTAGCTGATCGTGCAGTTGTTGAACCTGTTGATTAGTAAAGTCCTGCTCTTGTGCCAAGAGAATGTCATCCATATAGTGATAAATGAACACCTGTTGCCATGCAGTCCGCAAGGGGCGCAGAGCGCTGTCTACAAATAGCTGGCACAACGTTGGACTATTTTTCATTCCTTGCGGTAGCACCACCCATTCAAAGCGTTGTGCTGGTGCCTCTTTGTTTATGGCAGGCAAAGTGAAAGCAAATCTCTGTGTATCTTGGTGATGTAGTTTTATAGTGAAGAAGCAGAACTTTAAATCAATTATTAGAAGCTTCCAATGTTCAGGTAGCATTGATGGATTAGGTAGACCTGGCTGCAACGCTCCCATTGGCTGCATTTGTGCATTTACGGCCCTTAAGTCATGCAACAGTCTATGTTTACCAGACTTCTTTTTTATTACAAAAACAGGAGTATTCCACGGAGTCGTGGACAATTTCAGGTGTCCTTGGTCGAGCTGTTCCTGTACTAACTGATGGGCGACTGTAAGGCTCTCCAGTTTCAACGGCCACTGCTCGATCCACACCGGATCATTAGATGTCCATCGAAGTGGAATCGGGAAAGCCCATCCTGCAGTGACCGTTCCTAAAAAGGTTTGTCCGTTGTAAGTACGACCCCAAGCTGATCCAGCACATCACGACCAAGAAGGCCATTCACTCCTGAAGGCAGACGCATAACGGTAACATGAATAGATACTCTTTTTCCATCTATGGTCAGCCAAATACGATCGATACTGACACTGCACTGCAGAATGACCTCCCACTCCTTCGACTCCTTTAGCCATTGGTTTGACCGGCCAGGCAGTAGGCCATACTGCTTCATCCACAAGTGTCAGATCGGCTCCTGTATCTAATAACATGACTAATGTTAGAAAATGTCCTCTTGCTTCAAGCCGTACAGTTGCCATTGGCCTGCGATTCATTGACATTGTCAACATTACAGCTGGTCCTGTGGAACCAAAACCTCGGTCGTCTCTGGTTCTGGACGTAGCCGGAGTTATACCACAGGTCAGTTGATTCAACGGTACCAGCTGAGCAACCTTACTTCCCTTCTGGAATATGCAAAGGTGGAAACAATGTTTGCAGGATAAGTTGGACAATTCCTGTGAAATCAGCATCAATAAGTCCTGGTATAATGTTCAGTCCTTTTATACTGCTGGAGGCTCTTCCTATTAATAATGCTCCATGTGATTGTCCATTTATAATCAGTGGCCCTCTTATCCTGGTAGGGACCTTTTGTGGCTTTTGGTCGAGTAAGGTAATACTTATTGCTGTTGCCACATCCAATCCGAGGCTGCCGACGGTTGCAGGTTGGAGGCCGTTGTCACTGGAGACGGGTGCTCCTTGGTGGCTGGGGCTGCTACTTTTGTCAGAGCGCAGGCGGCTGGACGCGCTCATTCTCCCGTTTCCTGATTTTTGGCAAGCCTCAGTGTTATGGCTGCTGGAATTGCAGGTCTCACACCAGACTCGTTTCACACAACAGTCGCGGCGCAAGTGCCCCTCTCGGCCACATCGGTAACACTTGATGCTCCTTCTGCCGTCACTGGCCCTCGCTCGTCCGTCTGATTCTACAACGCCAGCTCGAAGAGACGCCAAAGCGGCAAAAACTTGCTGTTGTGCACGTTGTTGCACTGCAAAGGCTTGCTGCTGAGCCTGAAGGATATCTCTCCCTAACTTATTCATTGCTTCTACCAACATAGCCTGAGGTCCTACAGGGACTCGACTCATTCTGTCCAACATCAATTCAGTCGTGGCATCTGCGGGTAATGTTATTAAAATTCCCCGAGTAACTCTATTGGAATTCTGAATTACACATTGTCTTAACAAAGCAGCCCTCATCCAAGGCTGTACATCTGACTGTTCTATGGCCGCCGTAATGCGATCCACAAAATTTGCAAACGACTCCTCCCTTCCTTGTTTTATACTCATATAAGATGGAGACGGCTGTGACATTTTTACATGTTCTAAGGCTTCCCTAGCAGTTCGCATTGCCTCTATGCACCGTTCAGGACCTAACTTGCAACTGTGCTTGTACTTCCACAAAAGGTCCTGATCCCATCAATTGCTCTACCGTGACTCCCTGTAAGGGGTCATTCGGATTCCTTGGCTGTTGAACTGACTGCTTCACAAAACCGTTGCCAATGTGCTTGCCACAACAATAACTGCGACTGAGTCATAATCGTTCGCATAATGACCTTAATATCCTCAGGACATAGAACCGTACTACCCCAAATGTAATTCAAAAACTGTTTTGCACGTTCTCCATGCAAGCCTGATTCCGATACCGTCTGTCTTAACTGCGACAACAATTTCCAACTAATAGGATTATACTGCCCCTGCAGATCACCATGTTCATCTCTGTTAAACATGACTGGAAATGCAGAGGGAGAAAAATCCCCCGCATCAACGGCATCTTCCATAACCTTTCTCCAATTCACTCTCGTAACTCGTCTACCCCCAACACTCTTGCTATGCTCCCCTCCGACATCCTCCGACATCACTTGCTCCTTAACAGTTTCTGCTTCTATCTGTTCACCGGTCCCTTTCACTTCTTCCGCGAAATTCTCAGTAACACGTACAGACTGCCAGCAAGGTGGCGCTGGTACCCTGCTTGTACTAAACAACAAATCATTCTCCGGTTTTGGCGCGGCAGGTTCGCTCAAAAAACTAGATACTCCCGCGTTTAGCGGTGGGGCAGATGGCTCTGAGTGTCCTAATTTCTGAGAAGCCACAGCAGCCATGTTCTTTTCAACCTTATGGCGCTTAATGTTATTGATTACCTCCCTCCAAGGTTTCATTAATTTCTTAGCAAGTTTATCATCATCTATCACCATATCCCACAGTATATCTCCGTACCTCCTCCACTCCTCTTCATCAAACAACAGATCAGAGTTCTTAAAACACCCCTTTGTTTTCCCCGTTGCTACTAGACCAGCTAGCTGTTTAATGCAACTACTATCTGTCCCACGCTTTTCTAAAAAGCTCTGTAATAAATCTAGGGCTACTTCAAAATCCATGTACCTTAATACCTGTTATAATATCCTTGCAGCCCTCAGCTTGTAGCCCTTGCAGTGGTGAACTTCAATCGGTTCAGGCCGGAGACGACACACCACAGCACGCGATGTTCTGGTGGCTCTTTTTGCCCTTCGGTCGCTGCTCCCAGCGCACTGCTCCTTTCCTTCAGCCAGGTCCTTTTTTCACGAGGGTCCTTTCATCTCGAGGATCCCTTTGTTCTCACCTCAACGAGGGTCCCTTTTTCTCGAGAGACCCTTTGTTCCCGGTTGACCCTTTTTCTCGAGGGTCCCTGTTCGGGCGCCAATTGCCGGGCTGGGCGAGCCGAGGACGCAGGCCAAGGAGGAAGAACGCAGCCGACTCAGTATGAGTGATAAAGCATGCTTCAATTTATTGATTTCCATTACAGCCTTTCATAATCCTTCTGCTTAATTATGCCTACTAGTCAATCATTGATTGGATAAAATACAAGCAAGCCGTGCCAGGGCTTGTTGGCCCAAGCCCTGGGAAAGACCCAGATAAGTTAGTTTAGGAGAAACAAAAAATGCTCATTTCTCCATCCTCCCCTGATTAAAGAAGAACAAGGAATGCTTCCCAACCTTGACGAGATAGAGAATGTTTCATCTCAGAACCTTAGTCAGTACTTTCCCACGGGACTCACTCTCGCTGTTGTTCACTCTTGCTGACTGAGGCCTACTCATGCTAACTTAAAAGAGACTCTCGTCGCAAAGAGGATCTCTAGATCCATGTCCCTTTTCCCTTAGCCATTCTCCAACAGCTTCCCCAGCCCACAGGGGAACGCTGAATCTCACCAACACACCTAAAAGAACTTTCTCCAGTAAGGGCTGTGTTCCATCTTATACACACCTGCTTCACTGCCAGAGCTGTTCAAACAAGCTCCAGATAACCTTATCTGGAAACAACACAGCGTGAACTTTTTTTGTATGTCATTTAGCAGCTAACCTTACTTTTGCCTCCCCCTAAAATATTCATTTCTTAAGCTTGACGTAGAATGGAGAGGACACTTTGAAAGGTTACTAACACAACCTTAAAAACAAAAATATTCAGATGCAGAGGACAAAACTATTCTTTCAGAAACACCAAATTACTGAAATCTAAATAGCACTAAAACTTCAGTTTTGACAAAGAATTCACAGAAAAGCCTTATGAGGCATGGGAACACTGATTAAAATAAACATGAGTTAACCATGAACAACCAGTAGCTATCAAGTGTCTATGCCTCATTTGGCTCAGTCTTACATGGGTTTATTTTTAAAAACAAGCCACCAAGCCACCATCTGAAACAGTGCTTATTTGGAAATCTTTGCAGAGTTATATAAATTGAGTCCGTAACTCAATTTGGGACAAAAATTCAGAAAATCTTGGTTTTATTCCAAAGCAGATAATTTTGAAACTGTGAGAGGTTTTGCCGAACAGGAAAACTAGTTGTGCAGTTCCACAATCCACTAACAATTCATAAAGTCACAGAAACAGATGTACGCCCAATAAATGTTTGAGAATAACAACTTCAGCTTCAGAGCAAGTAAGGTATTGTTTTTTCCATATTCCTTCCAGATGAAAGTGAAGAGCTATATATTTTAATCCATTAATTACTGGATTAAGTGGACATTTTACTTTTGGCCAAGAAGCTGACTCCAGAAAGTTACATGCTTTCTTTAGCGTGTATTGACTAATAAAAATAGCCTGTGTAAAGTTCTTAATATAAAGTCTTATTTTTATTTATAAAACAGTAAATTTTCATATTCTTCCCAAGTCAGAATGGAATGTAGAAAATCCTGCAACAACAAATAAGGTAAAAAAATTAGGACATGGCAGAAAGGCGACAGGCTCTGTAAATCTGTGTTGGTAGCAATGTGAATTCTATCTTATGTATATTGTCCATTTTGCTCTGTATCATAGGTTCATTTGATAACTTTAGATGATTTAATTTTCTTTATGTCATGGCTTTGCAGAATCAAGGTCCCATCCCTGAATTTTCCAACTTGTCCTGCAGGCCAAATGCTAGGCACTGATTTCTTCCTTTTGGCCTTCCTGAAATAGGAAGAGAAAAAAATAATTAAGAGAAACAACAGAAACTCATGAAAAAGCTTAATATGGTAAAAAATGTCACCTATTTATGAAATAGGTGTTTGGTATTATGGAATATTAAATCATAGCAGGTAATGACCCCAGAATATTTATTACCTGCATAGCCATTCAAAATTTGCAGCACATTACAGAATGATTTACATTTCAGAAAGTTTAGAAACATAAAGACACTTGGCTAGAAGAAGAAGATATAGAGCACATTTCAGTGAACCTGCTATACTGTGACTAAGAATGCCACTTCATCTTTCAAGCCTCTGTATACTGTATCTCGTGTTTTGCATTAATTACATCTCAGGGCAAGTGCTCCGAGTACGTGGCACATCCTGGGTCCGCACATCCATCTCACCTCCAGCTGCGTTCTTAGACATGTCGGGGCAGAACTGACATATTTTCAGTTAAGCTGCGTAACTAAAGCCTCTGAAACTGCTAGACACAGAGCAACATCATCATTTTGTGACCAAGTTCTTCTGCAGCTGGAGAAGTTCCTTCCACAGTGACTGCACGCCTTCTGGTATAAGACTGTGCATAGTTACACGGGGGGAAATATGCTGGAGAGGCTATACAAAGCAAGTTCATTTTAACCATGTTCAAAACAGCTCACCTCTCCTTCTGTTCTTTCTTCTTCTTCTTGAGAGAATCACCTTTATGTTCCTGCTTTTAAAGATACATATTTGAATGAAAAGAGATCTGAGCATCTTGGCTAAACAACCGTCTGCACTCAAAACACGTGGTACCCTTTGCTTCACGGAGCAGCAGGCATTTAAAGCAGGTTGGGAGACCTTCTGACAGGCCAAGTGATGCAATGCGTTATGGAGGCACTGCTAGGAGTGCCCAGAGCCCTTCCTGTCACCTTACGGGAATTACAGCCCTCTCATGACCAACAGGCTGCCCCTGCCACGTGGGGAGGCACAAACCCCACCGCAGGAGGACAGGCTTGCTTCTTGGGCATGTGACAGATCCTTGGGTCAAAAGACTTGCTCCCAGGCAGGTGTGCCTAGTTGCCTGATTGAGCATACCTGTCAAATAACAGGGTTCAACCACTTCTGGCCATGCCCTGGATGTGCTTTGAGCCATGTGACAGAGAAATAGGTCCCCTGGGAAAGAGGGTGGCAGGAAACAGGCTGACAGAGCAATTACCCGCCTTGCTCCCACCTACATGAGAAGACTCCATGGGGAGGCAGGGAGTAGGCTTGGAGCCAGATGGGCTGTGCTACAGGATGGATGCAAGAGAAACCTCACCCTTGCTTTAAACAATGAGCAAGATCCTAGATGGAACTGTGCTGATATAAAACCAGCTGAAGATCTGGCTCTCTGTGGTTAGACAACATGCAACAAACTTTAATTGAAGGCCATTTTTTTTCTCTTAGGAGGCACGGAAAAAAAAAAAAAAAAAAAAAGAACAAAACCAACTGCTGATTTTGTGTCATCAATCTATCAGCCATAAAGGATGAGGCAGTGAAACCCACTACAACATGATGAGTCCTACTCATCAGGAACCCACTCCATGGGGAGCAGCAGGTGTCAAGCTCAGGCACTCCTCCTGCGCCTGAGGCGTTATCTGTCAGGTTTGTGGGCTAGCTCTTACATGTTGCCTTTTTATACAGAAAATTTTACACAAACCTTTCCCTTATCATACTCCTTTGCCATTTTCTTCTCTTTCATTTTCTCCTGGTAAGTCCTGTAGTTCACATGTTCTTTTTTGGGGGGCTGAAATAAAGATTGGGAGGGATACCACTGATTGAAAATTTCAAGTAGGTTAAAAAATATTCACACACTTGCATGGACAATATTTTTCAGATGGTGGTAGGGGAACATCAGAAATTGTTTATTTCCTCTTGGGTGAGAGGAAGGGACTGAAGGGATGTAAGGTAGACACATCGAAACCACATCTTTCATGCCGGAGACAGTAAGGAGGGATGTTTATGCTCTACATCAAACCTACAGGATTTCCACATATACACTGAGCTAGAAAGAAAACCCACACTCCTCCACACCCACCAAAAAAGACCTACAAAATTCTTTTTCTCTTTTGTATTACTGATGATGAATCAAACTGAAAAGTTTTCGCCATCTTTAACTCACCGGGACAGCGAAGCTTTAAAAAGCAAGCCCTTCCCTTCAACATTTTAGTTTTGAATGGCCTGATTAAAAATTGGTAAGTGTTGTCTTCCACCCCAATCAGCTGTATTTCATCTGTACAACATCTCTGATAACACAACCAGACTAATTTTACAAACATCAACAGAAAATAGACAAGACAGAATAGAATATGTAAAAGTAAGGATGAAGTGGGTCAGGGTAGGGGATCTTGTGTTTTAAAAAGGTGGTGCCAAAACCCCCCAGAGTTTTTTACTGCTTTCCTGCACTGTAACAGCTGGGTGACTGCTCAGCACAAACCAAGTGACAATTACCTTGGCTCCCAGCATGATAGCACGCTCCTGTTCCCATATACGTTGTTCCTGCTTCTTGTAGCCAGTGATTCCAAACTTGTGTACTTCCAGACGAGCCTAGAACATTACAGAAAATTGCAAGCATTTCATAATTTGCCCAGCCTCTTGTAAAATAGCTCTTGACAGACTACAACAAAGTCATACTCCCAAAGAAACCCTGGATAATACCTGAAATCAACATACTATAAAATAAAACTAACTGAGTTTGGAGCCATACTGCAGAACAGTTAACCACTGTCCATCTAATCTCTGGATGGTGAAGACTGTCAGGGGGACAATTTTTGAACCTCCTCATTTCACATAAAACAACACAATGGAATGGATCTCCTCCATATAAAAAGGAATCATGTTGTGCTGCACAAAGAAGAACAATGAAATGTGCTACCCACAGCACCCAACATTTACAGACTGTTCTCATTTCTTGGCTGCAGCGCACTTAACCAGTGAGAAACACAGCCGGGCATTGATGAAGTTGGTTTGACTACACACACATGCATAGCTGACACTATACAAGAATACCCTGGCAAAACCTGTGGTGAATTCATACTATTTTTAAAGTCAGTGGTTAAATCCCCATTGTGCTCAGCAGTACAAAGCTCCATGCAGAATTTCCAGTGAAACATTTCACTGGATCACAGCACATCCCTGAGCAGAGATCAGGCATATAAAACCACTTGCACAGATCTGTAAACAAATCAGTACCTAAGAAGGTCAATGCTAGTTATGCTCATATAAGAACAAGTGAGAATAAGAAGACAAATGGAAAGAAGTAATCTGCTGTTTCAAAAGTAGATGCCAATACACTTTTTTTCCCATCCCACCTGAGATCAGAAATCCAAGATTAACAATATGGGCCTGAAAGAGCTATGTTAAACATTATGGGTACTCACATAGCTTTACAAAGGTAACATACAGTGATCCTCCTCAAATTCTCTCTGACAGATTTGAAAGAAAGGCCACAGAGTTGCAACATGCCTCTCTTCACACAAAGCAGTTGACAAGAGCCAGCATGCTTCTCCTTTGACACGGCATACGGCCAAAATTACCTATTGGGAAATCCTCACCAAGATAACCTTTTCTGGAAGTGCTTCCCATTGGTCCCACCGTAGCTTTCACAAGGATATAGATACACATACCTGCACACTAAAATAGTGAGGTTAGATAGGCCCTGCTGACTTACTTTTTCAAAGTTAAATTCTTGTTCGTTCACATTTTTATCTTCATCCACTCTTTTGGTCTACAAACAAAACATTTGGAATTAATATAACAAGTAACACCGGTTTAAATGTCCACTGTGATAGTTTTTTGGAAAGCAGTGAAATGTAGAAAGAGTTGTTGGGAAGAGTATACAGCTTTCCAGCACTATTTTTTCCAGCTTTGTTACCCGGATTTATGAAAAGAGACAGCCTCAGTGACATTTTTAATATTCAGATATTACAGGATCTTACTGGAATGACCTTGCACAATTTATAGGGTACCATTATAGCACAGTGCATACAGCTTTGTCCTTCATTTTCTTGCCTGGATCATCTCCTAACACTTACAAAGGGTTTCATAATTCAGAAAGATATTAATAGCTGCAATTAATTTTTATCCTTTCAAGAATAAATTACATTTTATAAAATAAAAACTGCCACATGTGAGCTATACGTCACGCATAATTCCATTTCCAAATCCATACCAAACTGCTGATGCAGGATAGGACACAAACCTTAAGTCATTTTGTTTGAGACAGAGAGTGCAGTGGTAATAGCACATATACTGACAGCCGGTGGCAACACGCAGAGGCTTAATTTGCAACTGTGTGGACATATATTAGAGCACATATCCAGCTTAACTAATGCAAGAGAAACGGCTCCAAAGGATGACACTGTCAGGAGATGGCGGACCCCACTTAAGCTGTTTAAAGAAACTACTTGCTCAAAATGAGATCAGTGAAAACTCCATCTTCTCTATTCCGTGATTTACGTGGAGACCTTTCAACAGCAGTTCTCAGTTTGGAGGGGAACTCTCCAAGGGGGGACAGATTGTATCCTAGGAAGAAAAAGAAGTGCAAAATCCCCAGGGAGAGCTCCACACCTGCTAGTGTCCCACATGGGACAGTAACAAATCTCCCAGGTTTGTTTTAGATTGTGTCTGACTCCTGATTTTGGAGAGGACGTGCTGAACAACCTCTCTGAGTGGATGCTCTGCCTCTGGTGCAGGCAGCATGGGCAGGGAAACTGCAGTCTGTTCAAGAGTATCCGCTTGCTTGTCTTTCCCTGTTTGCTCTCAAGAGCACTATCCCCTCCAAGGAAGCAGGAGTACTACATATATATTACAACTGAACCTGAATGCTTTTAACGCATTTCGGTTTCACTCTCCAGGACTTTAAGTCATACTTAGTCACAGGTTCAGGTTCCAGGGTTACGTCAGGGCTTCCCTCTGCATTCAGCGGAGCCAAACCCAAACTTCTCCCAACTCTGCAAAAAGCTTCTATATAAAACTGTCCATTTCAATGACAAATAAACATGGTTATTTTCAGACCATTTTACTAACATGCTTAACACCAGTCTTTTCAGGAAGAAAAATTTAAGTTATAATAAAGCATAAGAAAATAATTATCTAGGGCAATTTTTAGAGGAAAACATTCCAGAAAAAGCACAAAAGTTTATGGATTCAACCAACTGCTTGGTCAGTCTCTTGAACTTCCTAATTCCAAGCAGTCAAACCCCAGATACCAGTAAATCTTCCTGAATTTGAGACAGTCATGTGCTTGTCCATCAGACCTTATTTTAGAATTGGGCTTCTGATGTTATGGCCATAAACATGGCTCAAAGAAAACAACCAGAGAAGCTATAAAATCTGGAGACCAATCAATTAGCAATGGACCCTCTGCTTGGCATGGGACGCAGCTCAGCTTCCAGTCAAGCCTATCCAGGCCTCTCTGTTGTAGCAACTCAGCTACAGTTTTTGGTAGCACGAATAAATTCAGTACCAACAAACCATATCAGAGGACTGAGATCTAATGCTGTCATGCCTTCCCCCATTGCTGGTGAACAGCCAAGTGCTGCTGTGATGCCAGAGAAGAAAGCTTTCGCACCTCACATCCACTCCTGTTAACGAGAACGGAGCAGCACACACAACACTTAGGCACAGAAGTAAAGAGGCTTTGCTTCCCATTTCATTCACTTCTTGCTGTATCAGCAGTCCTATCTGCAGATCAATTTATTTTGTTGGGATACATCTAGTTCAAATATAGGATAGTTATCCAGAGATCTCTGGAAATTGGGAAAAAAAGTCTTCGAGTCCTGCTCCCACCCCTACCAGCAGCCCTGTTGGAAATCAGCAGGACTGGATGCCATCAAGCTGAGCACACAGATCACCAAAGGATCCCAGATTTCCAGGCAGCTGTATTAGCAAGAGGGAAGAAACTAGACACTGGAGGGGGCATTATGGAAGACATCTCACAATTTATGGTGGCAGACTAAGGAGACAGGAAAAAGCAAAACCAACAGACACGCAGAGGATTTTATTTGGTTTTAACTGTCACCAGGAAAGGGCATCCCAGTCCAGTACCTGCTCAGCAGCAACTCTCTGGTGCGGCTTCACAAAAACCCATCTATCTGTGCTTTAAAGAAGCAGCAAGATATTCACCGGTACGGGCACCGTGCCCAGGGTGCGCACCCCGTTAGAAGGCCGCTCCTACTCGGGGACAGCAGCACCCACGCCTGCAGGCGTGGGCGTGCCTGGGGCAGGGGGGCCCACCCGCTCCCCGGTCCTACCTGGGCACCTCCGGTGGGTGCTACCGAGGGGCTGGGCCGCCCCTTCCTCTTCCTCCCGCGAAACACCACGACCTCCACGGCCGGCGGCGTGGCGGGGGGCGGCGGGCCGGCGGCGGCCAGCTCAGCCCGCAGCTCCCCAAAAAAGTCGCGGGCTCCCCGCCGCCCGCCCGCCGCCGGCTGCGGTCCTCGGTTCTCCTCCTCCTCCTTCTCCTTCTTCTTCTTCTTCGCCGCCGCCGCCGCCCCTACGCTCGCCTCGCTGTCCTTCGCCGCGCCCCGAGCACCGCGCTCCTCACCTGCGTGCCGAACGCATGCCCCGAGTCAGCCGTGTGCGGCCGCCGTCGCTCCGCTTCAGAGTGAACACGCCCGACCCCCAGGGAAGGCCGCGGTGCTGCCGGCCACGGCGCAGCGCCCGGCCCGGCCCCATTCCCCACGACCGGCAGCCCACGGCGCGGCCCCGCTCACCCACCCAGGTCGTAGAGGGCGCCGAGCACCGCTTCCAGCCGGCGGCAGGGCTCCCGCGACCCCATGGCGGCGGGCGGAAGGACGTTTGGTCCCGAGCGGCTCCCGTCGCCCCCAAGATGGCGCCGCCCATCGCGCGTTCCCCCCGCCCTCCGCCGCGCGCTGGGCAGCCGGGCCGGGCCCCCGCCGGGCTCGGGAGGGGACGAGGCCTGTCCTGGGTCCCGGCGGCGGCAAGTCTCGGCCAAGCGGGAGCCGGACGTTTCCCCTCACACGCTCACCTTCCCCAGGCGCTGCGGGCCCCGAGCCCGCCGCTCCGCCACGGTGCCTGTCGCGTCAAGTCGCGACAGTCGGAGCTCCCGATCCCGAGCGCCGCTTCTCCCCTCAGGTAGGCTGTCAAACGCCAGCCGGCTTAAGAAGGGTCGGAGGCGTCTGGGACTCTTCTCCAGAGAGGTTTTGTCCAGCAGCCCAGGGACCGGGCCTGGCGGCAAGGCTGGCGGGGGCGGTGGGCGTCTGAGGGGCTTCGCGGGGAGCCCTCGGCGGCGACAGAAACTTGCCAGCGACGACCAATTCAGCCCTAGAAAATGTCACAGCGATGGAGTGGCCGAAGCAGGTTTTCCTGTGTTACGTGGTGGAAATTACTTCATTGACCTTATTTTTTCCCTGTGGCTCCTATGCCAGCCTCAGATAAGGACATTTGGGTGTGGGGTGGTAACCCCCTCCCTCCCCGCACCCCCCAGTTACATTTGGAGGAGGTGACTGGGGAGAGAGGGAAACAGCTCCTGGTTTTGGCAGAGATTCCCACAGCCCTCTTCTGTGTCTCCCTGGCTGTATGCTGGTATCCCAAGCGCATCATGAGCATCCTCATTTTGTTGCTTTCAAAGGTTATAGGGAAGCAGAGGAGTTCCAGGATCCTGCTGTTTTGCTTTTGTACTTCACCAGTGTCACAGTAACAGTGCACGTAACTGAATTTTCTGATGTCAAGGTTTCCAACGGCATATTTTATAAATGTACTCTCTACCAGTTGGCAACCAAAGCTAGAAGAACAGCTTGGCCATAGGGTGCAAAAGCAGTGTTATTCTTCTTAAGTGGTTGGTAAAGTGTGTGTTTTGGCTTCCTCTGCGCTGCTTCAAGAGGGCATGAAAATAACTATTGCCATGGAGAGGAATCGGTTGCACTTCAAATCTGGAAGCATCAAATGGGGAGCTGTGGCAGAGAGGTGACTTAAATTGGCCGTGGCCTTTGCAAAACTCCTGTCACCAGAGCCACGCTGGGGAACAGCTGTAGCAGCGTGGTGACTGCTGATGTGGCTGATGATACCGGAGCTGAGTGCTGGGTTTCTTTGTCTGGGTTTTGTGCAGTTGCACATTGCAGGATTTAAACTTTGGTAATTGACATAAATGTTGCTTATATTTTCTGAGCAATGACTTGTCCAGTACTGATCTAAGTAGGTGTATACTTAGAGCCAACTAATATCTTCCGATGCTATTCTGATCTATCTTTTTTGCTATTACAGACCCTAAGGGATTTTTTTTTTCCTGTTTTATTTTTAATCAAGTGGATTGATATAAGGTGTCAGTGGCAACAGATGGCTAATACAAACTATTTCCATTCTTCTTAACAGTTCTTAGCTTACTTGGCTCTTGCAAAACACCAACTAGCTGAAAGCTGGAAGAAGAAAGTTTGAAAACTAATGCTAGACTATACAGGAAAAAAACACATAAAGTTCAAAATTAATATGGGCTTGAGTTTAATACATTGTATAGGATTAGTTTTAACAGTCCCTGGAGAGTTTGTACTGCAGTTATTGTGGGACAATTCTCTAAACTACAGTAGTGAAAAGAAAAGTTAGACTATCTACCAAATGTTACTGTTGTAGAAGGATGGTATCCAAATTTGACTCTTATGTGTGGGAAAAAGAATGTGAGAAGGTCAAACATTACAGTTGGATTTGTGTTCTCTGATAAAACGAAACTGGCTTTTGATACAGTTGAGGCTTGGAAGGATTTTTTGTGGTTCTTAAGTGGAGATATTCCTGATTTTGTGTTTTTGTTTTGTTTTGCCAAATTCTTGTCTCGATGAATGGACAGGAACTAAATGTTTGCTCTTATTTTAAATGTCAGCTGCTTTGATAGTGTTGCTGGAGTGGCTGTGGTCCACTGGCAGTGAAACCTGACTCCCGCTCGCAAGGTTGAAAACCCAGCTGCTACTGCTGGGTGTTTTGCTTATCTGTTCCTGGTGTTCTGTGCATTTGCTGGCCAAACTTTCCTCTCAATACCAGAAAAGGTCACTGTAAGAGACCATGAAACAACATGTTTTATCCTTCATTATCAGACTGGTTCTGCACAGGTTGTTTATAGGGAGAGGAGGCAGAATGAAGGAAAGGGATGCCTGCGTTACCCTTCAAGTGGTGCTGTAGAGGAAGTCATAAGTGTTTTTATTTTTAGCATCTTCTTCTAATAAATAAGCTTGATCATAACCAATACTTTCATATTTGTGTTTCACGGAGGCTTGCTCCAGGTGCCTTGCTTGTCTGGTGGCTATTGCTGTTTTGAAGTTGAGAGAAATACGATTTCAGTTTGGAAAGACTGAGGGGTCATTCGTATAAACTGTGGTGTTATAGGAGATAATAGGAGACTCTCTCCAGCTCAGGGGATGCCTCCTGACTCAAGGGGAAGCATTTTGTCACTGAGATTTCTGCAGCAGGATGGATCCCCAATTAGTTCTTGATGTACCTGTTTGTTTTCCTGCCTAGCAGTGGTGTTGGTTACTCAGAGGCTGTGCTCTCTTTTTACCTACGTGTGCAGCATATAACATTTTTATCTTCACATGGCTGATAATTGTTTTGTTTTTGTTTTTTGTTCCTGTCTGACTGTGGTTTATGTACCTTATGTCCAAGCCTGGTGAAAGCCAGCACAAATCACTACAGTGCCGGATGCAACTGGAAGTAACAGGGATTATTTTTTTGTGTTGATGATTGTGTTTTTATAATGTCATTATGGCGTTGTCTTCATGCAGCTATGAGAGTTGGAATCAAAGGTGGTTTAGTTAATACCTATTAATCATAGAGAGGCTTGAGGCAAGGCACTTTAGCTTTCAAAGCCCAGGTGTTCTCTCAACTTCTTCCTCTTGGGCAGAATTAAGTAACGTGGCATAGGGTGATTTGGGGATCTTTGTGATTTCGAAAGGGTTGGGGTTTTTTGTTGTTTTGTTTTGTTTTGTTTTGTTTTTTTCCTTTTCTTTTTAGTTTCTTTCTGTAGCATTGTTCTACACAGGTAATATTTTGTTCATGCATTCAGGGTGTGGAATGCAGACACTATAGAAAGCTAAAAAAAAACCCCCAAACATTGCAAAACTATTGCATGCCGTTATTTTGGTACTGTAGCCAAGCAGACCACTGAATGGCTCGAGACAGTGTCTCATTCTTTATTTGTGTGTTCCCAGCAGAAGGAGCTCATGTCAAAGAAAAGAGATGAGTTTGAAGATATCTTGGAGGAAAGGCGATTGTCCAGCGACTTGAGATACGCAATGAAATGTTACACTCCTGTGATCTACAAGGGACTTTCACCTTGCAAGCCAAATGCTATTAAAAATGCTGTTCTCCAGTCAGAGCAAGTTCAATATGTTATCAAGCAGGTGAGTCTGGACATTGAGCTGTAAGATGAGGTACTTTGAACACAGCCAAGCTTTGTGTGACAGCAGGGAAAAAAAGATTATTGCTGACCTTGTCAAACATGATAGCTGAAGTTTAGAAAGATGGTCCAATAAATCAGTAAGTCGAGAGCCATACTCTTTTGGCAGCAAAAACAGATAAACAGATACTGATTTACCATGGAGTTACCACTAAAGCTGTTAGATAGCTCATTCATTAAATCATGTTTTGATTTTGCATATATGACACTTCACCATCTAACTTACTTAATGTGCATATGTGTTTGACTGTTTTTTTTTTTCCCTCTCCTCCATAGTCCTCACTACAGATCAGGATTGTGAAAGATGGAAGCACTCTCCTTCTTAGTAGACTTTTTGTGCTTTGAAGATGTCTTGTAGGAATTTTATAGGCTAATGATGTATTTATGAATCAGTCATAAATGCTACTTTCTCTAAAATGAGCATTAAATTTCACAGAGAATTCTTTGAGTTAGAAACAATGTCTAAGATGTAACCGTATTTTTGCTTTAAAATGAAGGGCAGCTACTACTTTGTAATGAATAAAATACTTTATAGTCAAACTGGCTCATATTTTACATTGTGTTGAAATAAGAGTGTGTGTTAGTTATCAGAGTAACTATTTTCAGTATTCATGAAAAATAATTCCAGGTCAGTAGAACTATATAAGATGTCTTGATTAGTCCTGAGTGAGTGGCTACCATAACATTTTTCTCTTTTTTTTTTTTTAATGGTCAATGTTACCCATGATATATCAAAACCTGTTACGATGTGACAAATTAAACCATGTCCTACCAAGTAGTGCTGTTGCCATCATGAATTGCAAAGTAATATGAAATTTAAAAAAATGAATCTTTCAACTTCAGAAACACTAAAACATTTACTGAAAATAAGTATTTTACATAGGATTTGACAGAAAGAAATTGGTGTGATGTTTTTTTCTGAACTGCTGCTTTTTTTTTTTCTTCTGCCATTCCTCCTCTTTCCTCTTCTGTGTTCAGTACAAGGCATGTTAGTCATTTTGTAACAGTTAACTTTTCAATTAAGTATTTCTAGCTTCAATGGATCAAATAGGAATGATGACCATTGTTTAAATCTGTTTTTTAAGAAACATCTAAAGCGAATGCGCATAGCAACAGGAAAAAGATCATTGAGATGCAAAGTTGGTAGAAACAGTGCTTTGCATGCGTTTCAGCTAGCCATTGCCAAAGTAATACATTACAAAGAAATTGAAGCATGATAGGGCTAAGGTTCTTCAGCCAAATCTTAAAATCTAATGCAAGTGCACTTCAGAGATTTATTGTGAATATCTCTGCAAACGTAAGTTTCATTTTACTAGTCAAAATTGCAGACGGCCTTCTTCAGATCAATGATATAGGAAATGTTATTTGAACTTAAATCTCCTCTGAAGATGTTACAAGGGAAAACATTCAGATAGTGTTTTCGGGCGGGGGGGGGCGGTGGGGGGGG